CCCCTGTGTGGTCCCTCTTCCCCACCCCCTTCGCGTCCTCTCCCTTGTCCTCCCTGTGACCCCCCCCCCCCCCCCCCCCCCCCCCCGCGCGCCCCCCCCCCCCCCCCCCCCCCCCCCCCCCCCCCTGTGTGAGTCTGTGTGTGAGTGTGTGTGTGTGAGCCTGTGTGTGTGTGCAGAGGTCAAGGCCTCCTGGGGAAGGGGCCAGGCCTGCTCAGGTCCCTGGTGGGGGGCCTCCGAGGAGCTGGGAGAGGCCTCGGGCCCTCGGGCCTCACCTCAGAGCAGAGCTGGGGTTGGGGTGGGACGGTGGGAGGGCGGTGTCCCCAGGTTCCTCTCTTTCACGGCTGTGCTGTCCCTTCCTTAGACCCAGGGGTGCTCCCAGGCCGTGGGTGGGGGCAGGGGGCTGGCGGCGGCGCGTGCTTCCCTCTCTGGAAGGTGTGGGAGGGTCTGCACCCTCCTTCCAGGGCCTCAGAGGGCCTGACCTCTGTTTGACTCCTGGGGGGAGGGCTCGGGAGGGTCCCCCTGAAGTCAGTGGTGGGATGGGGATAGGGGCCCACGGTGGGGTGCACGCCCAGGTGACCCACACCGGCGGGGTTGCTGCTCAGCGAGAAGACAAACTCTTCCTGGAAAGTATGCCGAGCGAAAGCAGCCAAACGGAGGAAGACAAATAGCACATGAGCTCCCTTATGCGTGGGATCTAATGAACAAAATGACCCGACCCACAGAACAAGGCCCGAAGCCGGAGGCATGGAGCAGCCGCCATCCCCCCAGGGGGGGTTGGGGACCGAGAAGAGATAAACCCAGAGTTTATATGGTTACTCCACAGCCCATGGACACGGCCAATAGGGGTGAAGACCTGGGGGGGGGGGCTGGGAGGAGATGGGGGGAAACGGGAGATATCTGTAATACTATCAGCAATAAAAAATACATTGAAAAATAAAAGAACAGAGTGTGGCTCTGTTCTTTCCATCGGTGAAGGTTACTGCAGGTCCCAGGAAAAGAAATCCGTTCAGATGGAGTGAATAAAGCTATTTGCACTTTGGTGGGGAAAACAAAACAAACCAAACAAAATAAAACACATTCTGGCCCTTCTGAACTTGGGTAAATTGGGGGGGGGGGGGGAAAAAGAACATTTCCTATCATTAAAACAAAGAAAAACTCTTCCGTCTGTCATCTATCTGTCATCTATCATTTATTATCTATCACCTGTCATTATCCTGTATTATCTATCATCTACCATTTATTATTATCATCTATCTATCATCCTATCCTCTATGTGAAATTCAAGGTCATATTTGGAAGGACACACACCAGATACAACCAGCACGGAACTGCAGGCTGTGCTGGAAACTCCTTTATACTTTTACTTCTGTTTTATTTTTAAAGAGTATTTGTATTTCTCTGTATACTCAGGGAGAAAAATTAAGCTGTCTCCATTTTTTAAAACAAAACAGAGAAGGAATGCGCTGCACAAATGCAGGGCCCTGGTCAGACCCCCCAGGCCCAGGCGGGACGGTGGGGCCCACAGGGTGGCTCAGGCGCCCTGGGGAGAGAGAGAAGTCACCCGCCGCCCAGCTCAGCCTGGGTGACGCTCAACAGCAGAGAAATCGCTGGGTTAAGGGCACCCACCGAGGAGGTAAAGCTAGAAGGAAGAGTGAAGGACGCGGATCCTGGGGTCCTGCCCGAGTTCTGGGCCTGGGACCTAACTGACAGGAAGTTCACCTCCCATGGAATTCGCCATTTTAAAACGAGCAATTAGGCCCGGCCGGCGGGGCTCTGTGGTTGGGTGTCAACCTATGAACCAGGAGGTCACGGTTCGTTTCCCAGTCAGGGCACAGGCCCAGGTTTCGGGCTCGATCCTCAATGTGGGGCTTGCAGGAGGCAGCTGATCCATGATTCTCTCTCATCATTGATGTTTCTATCCCTCTCTCCATCTCCCTTCCTCTCTGAAATCAATAGAAATGTATTAAAATGAACAATTCGGTCACTAGTACATTCAGGGCCATACGCAATGATCACCATGATTATTATGACTCTTTAGCTCTGCAGGTGCGTTTTATTTATCGGTGGTGCTCATCACAGTTTACAATGAAAACAGGAGGCCCGTCCGAATAACAGCAGCGGCTCTTCTGGGCGAATGTGGGGGTGCATCTCTGCCCCCCTGTTTGTTTCTCTGTCCTTTTCGTGTTGTTTACAGCGAGCAGTTATTGTTTTCAACCCGAGACCGAGACCCAGACTCTATTTTAAGAGGAACTTGGAAACAAACAAGGTGATTTCCCTCTCGGGAGCGGCACCTGCGTCCTCCTTGCTCCTTCACGCCCGGGTGCCTCCACCTGGGCCCGGCGTGGGGGGGGGCCCT